CTACACTAATTTCTCTAATGAACTTTAATAACAACAAAACACTAATGAATGCAAATCTCGGAATCATAATGATGCGACGCGAACAAATAACAAATTCATTCCCTGAACATATCACCGAAAATCTTCACCAAAAAAAACCCTGGAAACTTTCAGACAAATGCAAAATTCCAGCATCTCAGCATGAAGAAATCGATCAAATCGATCGTCGCGCAAACCGGAATTCCTCAAAAAAAAAATCGATCAAAATATGCCCTCCTCATTGAGTATGTGAAGTAGTGATAAAGCGAAACGTCGCAAATCGAAAAAGATACCTGCTGATGCACAAAGTGATAAAATAAACCACATTATAACACCACACTATTGTTATCATCATTGAATCTTCAATGATAATAACATTCTGATCGACTTTTCTTTGAGAGATTCCGGCTTGCGGGACGAATTCTGATCGATTTTTCATGCTGAAATGAGAATTTTCCATTTGTCTGAAAGTTTCCAGTTATTTTCTCCATCTTCGAGCGCACAAAACAAATCTGCACTAAATTCTTCACACATCCGTACCAAATTCAGCGATTCAAAACCACTTCAAACCGTCACGCCACATTCTTCTTTTCCGCATTTTAAGAGACAATCTTCCGATTCAATGCCAAATGCTAAATCCCGACGGATTCGTCGTCGTCGTCTTGCAGCAATTCTTCAACGACTTCCATACGAGAACGCAAGTCATCACCCAAAAACCGTGTATTGAAAGTCACAAATAAAGTTGCCAACAGCGATGGTATTGATTCCAAGAAGCGCAGTTATACGACCGATCGTATAATCGAGAGTTGACAAAGACAACAACCAATTGTATTTATTCACTTCCACGCATTCACAATATTCACAAAAATAACCACTCGTCAGTTATTAAACTCAATGCATTCCAAACGACAAATTTTCATAAAATGACAAATATACATTATTAAAAACAACAACAATAATGACAGAAGCAATACAATAAATCTTAATGAACAATTAATGAATACATTTCACAGATGATCACGAAAGATACTCTCGAAAAACATTTACACTCCAATATAACCAGAATACTATGATAATAAACCACGTGCAAGCTATGAAAATATTCCTCACGAAACCAATAAAACACAAATAATGCTTCATAAAATCTTCATCACCTAACCTAAGTGATATTCAGCAAAATGAATTCAGTCGTTACCTAAACCATAACAAACAAACATAAAATGTGTTATATTTTATCACTAGTACATAACTAAATGAACAAAAAAGCATTTCATTTCGAATAAATCACATTTTTGGATGGTTTTATAATGCGGATACGTCTTATAATCGGTCTCTTTGTCGCTGCTGACAATGTAGATAACAAATAATTTCTATGCTCTATTACTGGTTCATCATCATTATTGTCATTAAAACAACCCGAATCCATCTCATCCATACGTCTCCCAACATCCACCTCTCCATTGAAATAGCCATCGACATCAGTGACAATATTATCATCCAAATACATATTATTGTCATCTAGATTATTGCCATCCCTATCGATAAGCACATCGTCATTATACAAAGGCAACTCGTCGTAAGCACTCACACCACCTTCCAACACCATCCCATCGTCGCCATACAAGTTCATCACCTGCAATTAAACGTTCCATTGCAGTCCATATTCGCACCACTTTACACCACTTATTACCAACTAAATCACCTACATTGTCGTCATTCAACTGTTTCGTTGCATTCACTGTTTCATTATTTGTCAATATCACCGTTGCGTTATCCGATGACGACGTTTCCATTTCATCCTCCTCATCTTCGCTTATCCTCATCCCAGTTTCACTTAAATCCTTATCTTTTATTATTCATTATCATCTATCACCAAGCCAATTGCAATAATAAATAAAAAAAGTAACAATAAAAATAAATAAAAACAATAACAGAAACCAACCCGCGTCTCTGTGTCAACTGCGACCATCTTTCATTGATATTCGCCCGCTTATTACAGCTATCATTAATAACTAAACCATCTTTTACTGCTTTATTATTACTATCAAATCTTGATAGTTTATTGTAATTGCTAAAACTGATAATATTATCGATATCGATCTCAAGATGCTCCTTCTGTTGATGCATTATCAAATAACGACGTCTTGTGAACAGTCGCCGACATTTTCCCACTCTGCACTGATACCTTAAATTTATCA